ACTGGGAAAAGAACACAGTCCTAGAGGACAACTGAGAGGAAAACCATCATTGACAGTTATGGCACCAATGGCAGGTAACTGAACAATCACTGGCACTCACTCTGAGCAAGACAAACATGAAACAATCAGCATGCTCTTTGCTACTGACAAAAGAACAGCAGCATGGATGTGAACAAAATCTTGAGATCTGCGTGTGATGTTATGATTGGATGAGAGGCTTTGGTTTGTGAGCTGACCTGGACTTCATATTCCTTTGTAAAAGTTCAAATGTCCAAGAGTCTGTTGGTTTAGGGACAGCTTCACAATGAAATGCCCAGAAGAGGAAAGGGCAGCAAAGCCTTAGCTGACCTCTTTCTTGGGACAAGCATTGTCAAAAAGGACATGTGGATAAACACATCCTTTTAAGTGTTTGTGCTTACACAGTTGTGCTGGACAGGGTAATCCATTATCTTTTATGCCAGGAAGTGTTTCAACTGCAGAAAGTTTTGCTTAATCTCACTAGACTCCATGACAGATCTAAAGCCAAGTTGACTAGGCAGTACCTCTTATATTCTTACAATTCTGTGCTGATGGCTGATCCTGATCAAGATTTTACTTACTTGTGGAATGACTTTTTTTTTGCTTTTACAACTTGCTTTACGTTAATCACTAATAAAAATAAAAAATAGAAATGTTAACAAAATCAATAACCTGGGTTGTGTATTAACATGCTTCTTGAGGAGTAGACTGCCCCTTTGCAACTGTAAAACAGAAAATTCCTTTCATTAATGAATATATTCAGCTCAGAAGTATCGAACACCACGACAGCAACATTAATGCTGTGAGTTGGTTGTTGCAGAACTGTGCTGACTCACTGGACATCTTTGTAGCTACGAAGTTACAGACTGTCTATGATGATACAAACGTGATTCAGGTAGATAGTGCACAAATGCCAAGGTGGATCACCTGTGGAGAGCTGAAGCACAGCACTAGACAATTTGATTGTCAAGGAAAAAGATTCAAGGCATATTTGACAGTTAGAAGTGACAGGGTAGAAGATATTGGCTAATCCTTTGATTTCTGAGCTGTCAAGTATACTACAGTGGACCACGGCTGTGTTAAAGTGTTAAAGCCTCTTTGAGCAGAAACAAGGTAGTCCCAAGTGGAAAAGGCAGAAGGGTCAGCAGTTGCAGGAATAGCTTGCAGTCTAGGAAGCACTCTCAGTTGTGTGATTAAGGATTCACCATACACAGACACATGCACCCATTTGACCTGTCTTCCACCAGCATGGTCGCACCATTTTCAGATAAGTGGGACTCACAGCAGTGGTGACCAATTTACATACTGCTCCTGAGAGAGAAAAGGGAATTCTCTTTACAATATATTCACAGTGATGAGCCCTCTAAGTGAAGTCAATACAAACTGTTGCTGCATAGCAAGGGTTGTAGCAGACTGGCCTGGACTACACACTGTGCCATGTAAACTACTAGTGGTATGTAAGTGCACCAGTCCAGACTGAGCTCTTCATGATTTCTATTGCATTAGCAGCTTCAGATAAACAGGAATAGTAAGGACTGTATTAGGGAGAAAGGTATGGATGATTCAGAGGCTTTCCTCTTGCATAGACAACTAAAAGGGTTAAAAAGTCCACCTCTACTCTCTTGAGGCATAATTTGTTCTAGACAATTTCAGAGGCATTTTGTATATTGACTTTAGATTTCTGTTTTAAAATCACATGGCATTTAGAGAGGTCAAAGCAGTTTCTTTTATTGTCTGTCCATTCTTTTATTTCAAAGGAATTATGTGACTGCTTTCTGCTTTCTATTGTATATTATGACTGTCTTGCAGACCATGAATGTTTCTTCAGTTGGTTTGTTCAGCTGATGTGCCATGAAGTTGCTTGTGGAAGACCTGTAAGAATGGTCTCTGTGTGTACAAAAGGCACATTTTGAACCTAGAATATAGTGCTGTGACCTGTGGAAAAGAACAGCTCACCTTAAACTACCCTTCAAAATTCTAGCACTGAGTTTAAATCCTGTTCTGGTACCATCTTAGTAGGATCTAAATATCCTGATTTAAAATTTAGAAAGCAACAGAAGTCTTGTCTTTCTTATCTTCTTAACCCCTCTTTCCCCGAAACATTTTTCTTTAGCTCTGTAATTCTGTTCTATGCAGATGCTGTGAATATTGCTTTTGAAATTAAGTTGTATTCCCACAATATATGCACTGAGGGTTTTTGTTGCACTGATGCAAGGCTCAGATTGTGACTATGTCAGAGTTCCTTGAGCTGGATTGCTCTAGCTGTGCTTTGTGAAACTCTGTGTCTATGGTCTTTTACAGTACAGAAACTGACACCAGACAGTTGCATACAACTTTTTGCAGAAAAATCGACTTCAGTATTATTAAATTTAACAACTAAGATTTGAAGAATGTGCTCTTTGTACTCTTTCTCGTGTTCCCTGGTAGCAGAATTTTCTTCATTCCTCAGCAAGAGCTACGGATTCTGGCAGGAATCAAAACTAGTTGTATTAATGGTCCATCCGACAGCAGGAAAAAAGTTGCAATATGTTCAGTGTGGGCATTCTGTAGCAAGTAATCCTACATATGCTGATCTTAGCAAAATTTGTGAGTTCACAGATTGGTGATGCTGAGAGTGACCTGGCCTGTCAGTACTCACAGCAGAGGAATAATAAGGAAAACAACGGAAAATTCCTTACAGACATTCTGCAAGACTGAATTCCTCAACTTTTATTTTTATTCTATTTTCAGAAGTTATGCTACACTATTTACTGCCATAACCAAATCATACTTACTATTCAAGTTCCACTGAACAGCTTCTATCATTATTTGCTTCAGACATATCAATATGCTCCTTCCTTTTCTGCAAGGTTTCACATGCTATGAATAATGAATCTTCCTTTTTGGAGATTTTAGGATAAAATCCTTTCATTCAGACTTTTTTTGTTTGTTTTAAAGAATGGACTTATTCCAAGTAAAAGTCCATGTCTGACACTGAGCTCCATCCATCACTTTATTGGGTAAACACAGCATGGGGCGTGTCACAAAATAACAGGAGATATAATACAAGGAGTTCGTCAGGTCTGCCCCACGTACAGCTGAGAAGCTGTGCTGTTACCTTCGCAGGTGAACCTGATAAGGTAAGCATTTCTTTCAATTATGATTTAAGTTCTAATCTGCAATTTAGAAAACATTTTAAGTATTTTACAAAACTTATAATCAGCTTGATGTAACTTCATGTCTATGGCCTTCAATATCAGCTGAAGAAACAAATTATTAAAGGACACCTTCTGCAGAAATCTTACCTACCTTCATATGTGTGTTCTGTATTATTTTACTGTTTTACACTCTGCCATGCATAAAGTCAAAGTATTTGTCTGTATGTACTTTTATTTTGTTTACTAACTCTTCCACACTGAACAGCTGCTGATATGTTACAACAAACTTTCCTCCTTCTTCCTCTATTACTTTAATTTTTCATTTAGAATCAAAAGACAAAACTGAATTTGTTTAAATTCCAGGGGCTATGGAATATATTCTCTGAATGAAATTAAGGAATGCAGCATGTTCAGGTGACCTCAGCACACTGCAGCTCTGTGTTATCCTTAATAATTACATTTTCAAAGATTAACAATAAAAACATTTACTTCATGAATCTCTTTCTTCACCAAGAACATACATGGAGCTTAAAATCTAAAATATAATAGTAAGCAGAATAAGCGAATTATAAAAAAATCTACCCTATATCACCTATATAAGCAGTTCCATTTGGAGAGAGAATGATCATCCATTCTAGCAGGGGAGCAGTTAAATGCATTGTTTTTCAAATTATCCCACAAGATGACTGTCACATGAATGTGTTGATTCCACAGGGATTGTGGTACATATGGCAGAATACCTTGGATTTTGTTTTCTAGCAGCCACAGAGGGAAACAAATTGCTTGAAGATCCTCTGGAGCTCATAAGTTATAAGTGGTATTAACACTATACTGTGGCATTAGACTTTACAGTATTGTATTTTCTACAGTGTGTTGTCTTCTTTACTAAGAAATCCTTCCTTTTGGGGCTATGTGAAATGCTAGGTGCTGAAACTACTGGGAAAATTTTACAAGAATATTAGAAAAAGAGAAAAAATATTAAAATATTGGATATGTGAAGATCTTTGCAAATTAAACATGAGGCTAAACAAGCACTGTTTTATTAAAGAGTGTTTTATTTTATTTAAAAAGTGTCAATAAAAATTGAAGAACACTTTTTTAAAACTGAGTAAGATATGATCGAGTCAATGCTGAATAGAATGTATTAGTCACAGATGTTTGTAATAAACTGGATTAATTTATTAAATAATTTGTAGTCTTCATTACTGTGCCTTCATTATTTTACTTTAAAAAAAGAAGGTAATGTTGTTAACATTTGAGACTTCTGATAAAGTAGGTAGTGTAAGAACCTAGCTTCCATTTACGCTGGGCTGAAATTACAATGAATAAAATAAAACTTATGCTGTCGCTTCAGCACATTGTATTCTGGAAGTAACTGTAGTTTGGATAACAGGGGACTGCTGCCCTTTTAAGATCACTAATCTTAAAAGTGATGTTAAAAGCTATAGTGAAGAAAGTGGTTTGGACTCTCAAAAAAATTAAGATTTTGAGAAAAAACTTATGTGTGAGAAATTACTGTCAAGAAGCCTCCTTCAAGGTAGCTAATACTCTTTGCAAGATTTTTAATAATATGGTGTACATGTCCAGAGAAAGACAACTTAAGTTTCAAATACAGGAATCACCAGCCTATGCATTGCTGGCAAGATGTCCAGCATTTTGATTGCTCATGAATCCAAAAGCATGTCTGCCTTTTAAATCCACACCACTGGATTCTGCTTGCTGAAAAACACCCTGTGCACGAAGTTCAGGGGTTCAGGTATACAGACTTTATTGCATTAAAATGAACAAATTCCATCACAATAAGTCAGACTCTTTCTGTTTGCTTCAAACTATCCAGGTTTCACAATGGGCTCCATGAGTGCAGCAAATGCAGAATTTTGTTTTGATGTATTCAAAGAGCTGACAGTTCACCATGCCAACGACAACATCATCTTTTCCTCCCTGAGTTTGATTTCAACTCTGTCCATGGTGTATCTGGGAGCAAGAGGTAACACTCAGTCTCAGATGGAGAAGGTGAGTTACTTAACGCACTTTTACGTTAAGAAGCCAAAGTCACAAAATGGAGAAATGAATGAAGAGTTATATATAGAAAATAATAATAATAAAAAAGTGTATTTTCACTATAACAAGAAGTTGGCTTTAATATTAAAAAAAATATCTCAAGGACAATAGCAAAATAGACTACCAGTCAGTACATTTTATTATATGATTCTTTTTCTAAATTCTCACAACTTTCAGATAATGTAATCAGATTTCTTTAATATATAAAAATGATATATCTCAAGAAGAGAGGAAGACAGAATATTATTAGCAGTACAGAATTTGTAACTCAATTAATTTGTAGACATTAACTATAGAAAATACCATCTAAGCAAAGAGTGGTATTTACAGTTTCCAAGAAGACCACAGAGGGCATAGACCAGTTGTAAGCTCACTTGTAAATTTTTGGTTAATCTGTGTCCTCAATTAGCACCTTTTTTTTTCTGAGCCAATAGTTTTACCTCAAGTATCCTGTGTGAATCTCAAAGTCACATTATTTTTGGTCGTGCTTGTAATTTCTACTACTGGTGTTTTCTCTTGCAGGTTCTTCACTTTGATAATGCTACAGGAGATAGAGACACTACTGACTCCCAGGTAGAGAAATGATTTAATCTTTCTTTCTGTCTTATTTTCTCCTTAGAACAAAACTAGAACTGTTCCACCTCTCCTTCTGGCAGTTTCAGATCCTGACAAAAACTCTGGTAATGTCCTCAAACCAAGGGGGTGTGTCGAGAGAGGGAAGAAGGGTGTGATTCACCTGTTTTTTAACAAATGGAGAAGGACAGCAGGTTGCTCATCTTTCATCAGAACACGGGGTACAATGCTATGGGCACCAGAGGGCCTTACTGGGCAAGTGCTGCTGGAGGATGGCATGTGAAAGGGACTCATCACCTGGAGCCAGGGTACAGCAGTTAGATTTGTAGTTGAGAGACTCCAAAGCAGGGCAGGAAGATGCTGGGCAGAGAAGAGCCCAGAAGTCTCAGTGACAGGAGCACAACAGCATCTTATAAAAAGCACATTTCAGGGGTCTTGTCTTGACAAGGATGAACTTACCAGTTCAATGCACCATCACCCCAGCACCAGCTGTTCCAAAGGTGACAGCCCTATGTTTGTGGGGGAGGACTTCCCTGTAGCATGACTCTTAACTGATAAGGATGATATTTTAGGATCTTACTTCCTTATGCAATCTGTCTTCTCATTTTCATGTCATCACCTCAGTGTGGCCCTTCTGAACAAATCCACAGTACACTGAAGGATCTTCTCTTAGACATCACCAGGCAAAATGCTACGTACTCACTCAGGATTGCTGACAGAATCTATATTGACAAAACATACCCTGTTCTTCAGGTGAGTTACATCGTGTACTGACTTCCATGAGATTTCCTGTAAAAGCCCCTGTGGCTCTACCCTAGAGATGCACCACCAACAATAGCCTGTTGTCTGTCAGTGAAGAGGTGGTTGTGAGCCATGAGAGGAACTGGCACAAGAAGGAGTTTGGACCTTTCTGTGGCTTTTAGGTGGCTGTTGGGTGGCAGTCAGGCAAAGGTATAATGGCATAAAATAAGCTCATGTTACAAGTCACAGAGATCAGTCAAGATTGCTGTTTGTTTGCTAGAAAAGGGGCTTTTAGTGAAAAATGTAACTTTTAAGGGCAATTTAATACATTTTATGACTTGAAATAATGAAGACTAAAATTGTCAAATTTGGATTTCTTTCAATGCCAAATATCAAATCTTCCCAGTGAAAGGAAGTTTTATTTTTGAAATCTAAAAATGTAAGAACATAGTATTGAAAATAAAAAGACAAAAAGAGGAGACAAACATTGTCTGTCCTTGAAAATGTTTGTTAAACTGAGACTGGTTTGGTAAAATAAAGAAATTATTTCAAAATTGTGGCTTAAGGCCCTATCTCATCAAAAAGTGCCAGACCTATATATGTGAAGCAGTCTTTGTTGTACAGCTTTAAGATTTCAGTTACAGGGAGACAGCTGTTGACTGTTCAGTGTCTGACATGTTTAATGACTAACATGTTCAAACACAGGAGTAAACATTCAACGTCCTTTTAACCATTCTACTTTATGTCACAGTCTTGCTTTACACATTCATATAATTCCAAGTTGTCATGAGTCTGACAACTGCAATCTTTCTGCTTATAGGAATATTTAAAGTGTGCAAAGAAATTCTACAAAGCAGAGCTGGAAGAAGTTAACTTCAAAACAGCTGCAGAGGAAGCAAGACAGCTCATTAACTCCTGGGTGGAGAAAGAGACAAATGGTAAGGACTGAAAAATGGGTAGCAGGTATTTTCTCCCACCTACCATAAACTATATCCCTGTCTTCCACTCCTCATAATGTCTAGAAAAAGTGGGTCAAACAAGAGCAGATTGCTTATTGCTATGAAAACAAAACCCCACAAAGCAGGACCCCTCACCCTCATCCCTACATTGCAGAGGTTGGTGCATATCAGAGAAGGTGTATCTTACCACTCCCTTCTCTGTCTCTATTAAAGGACGGATTCAAGATTTGATTATGCCAGACTCTGTTGATCTCGATACTGCACTGGTCTTTGTGAATGCCATTTACTTCAAAGGGATATGGAAGACCGCGTTTAGAGAAGAAGACACTCAGGAAGTGCCCTTCAATGTGACAGAGGTAGGAGGGCATAGACACAGCTGTTGGCTCACACAGCCAGCAGTCTGGGTGTTACAAATACAACCTATTGCTGTCACAGGTTGGGTGATTTAGTTGGGCACCTGGCCTAAAGCCAAGTGCTTGGCCTAAAGCCAAGTGGTGTTTGCAAGAGCTGTGTCTGACCAGGATTCCAGGGCACACAAGTAAGCAAGAGAGGTAAAGGGAGACACAGCTGTTCGTCGAAGGCAACATACTTGAAGATCCAACTCTGTCCCTTTCAAAGGGCTTGTACATTTGACTGACCAAAAAAAAAATTGCTCCCCAGTCACATCATCTCACATTTCTGTTTTTGCAGCAAGACAGCAGACTTGTGCAAATGATGTGTCAGAACAGTACCTTCAAAGTGGGAAGAGTTGCTGCAGACAGAATTAAGGTCCTGGAGCTTCCATATGCCAGTGGAGAGCTGAGCCTGTTGGTGATGTTGCCTGATGACATCTCTGGCCTGGAACAGGTATGACCCTGGCAGGGGAAGCAGAAGTGGGGCTTGGCTGCTGTCAGTCTTCTTGATGTCCCAGTTGTCCCAGCTGTGCTGGGCTGGCAGGGGAGCAGAAAAGCCACCCAGGAGCTACCAGGTGCTCAGGTAGAGACCTGAGAGAGCCCTGAATTAAATTTTATAAGATGAAAGAAAGGCAGTGTAGTGCTGCTGTAGTCCTGTAGAAGGGGATGTTGCCATATGCCTCAGTCACCATCACGGATCAGTAACTGACACGATGCCGGATTTTTATCACTTTGAGTGATTTCAAAGGTTTACTGAAGAAAAAAAGTTTATCCTAGGGGAAATAAAAAGTGGAAGTGATGAGGAAAGCATTTCAAGAGGTGACTAAAAGAAAAATGAGAAATGTAGCACGAGAGGAATGACATTGAGGAAAGGTATCAATAAAATATGTCCCAAGAGGAACTGTTTTAGGGCCAATTTGATATGATGTTTTCAAAAATTGTATTTTTACAAAAAAAAATACTTGAACTGACGAAAAATTTTTGGATTACAAAGTTTTGAGGAAATTCCTCAAGACAGATGAAATACAGTCCGTAGTCAGGAGGAAGCATACAGGATGAATAAATGTATTTAAGATTAAGTATCGGTTCTACTGTGTACACAAAGTAAATGTGAAAAAACATAACACATGGCATAAACACATTTGTTAAGGCCACTGAACTTTTGTATCAGACATTTCATTCCCTGCCTTTCTTTACAGCTCGAGAACAAACTCAGCTATGAAAGACTCATGAAGTGGACCAGTCCCAGTGTGATGGAGAAGAAGAGGGTGAAAGTGTACCTCCCACGCATGAAGATTGAGAAAAAATATAACCTCACATCTGTCCTAACAGCCCTGGGTATGACCGACCTGTTCAGCCCCTTGGCCAATCTCTCTGGCATCTCTTCAGCAGAGGGCCTGAAGATATCTGAGGCCATCCATGAGGCGTACATGGAAGTCACTGAGGAGGGCACTGAGGAGACTGGCTCAGCTGTTGTGACAGGAGATATCCAACAATCCCCTGAGTTTGAAGAGTTTAGAGCTGACCACCCATTCCTTTTCTTGATCAGACACAACCCAAGTGACATGATCCTTTTCTTTGGTAGATATTGTTCTCCCTAAAGAGTAAAAAAGCTGGAAATAGTGATTGCCTTTCCCTCAGAAACAGACTCCCTTTACTTTAGTATTGTAGTATAATCTCAACTCTTCACTACTTTCTCTAGGGGGAAAGCCTTCAATATCTATTGAGATATTCTGGAAGAAGCATGTGACTTTTCAGGTCTTTAGGTGTTGGTATTTCTGCTTACACAAGTTGCACTCAGGATTTATATCCAGGATTAAGTGAGAATTTTGTGAGGTATCTTAGAAGTATTTCTGATCATCTTTGAATAACTTGAGAGACAGGGCCAGTGTTTTGACTTCTGTGAAAAAGTCTGACACTGATATTGAGAATCTGGTTTTCCTATAGGAGTTCTCAGAAATAAACATAGCTTTCAGAATAATCCTGTTCCTTTCTCTTGAACTTGTTGAAGTGATGCCTGGACAACTTGCAGATGAAATTCTTAACTTCAGCAAAGCATTCTTCTTCCAGGAAGAAATTTGTGCTAACTTGTGCTGTATGTACTGTAAAGCTAGGTGTCTTGTTCTGAGGGATTATACAGAAAGTTTACCACTTTTTCCTAAATCACCAAATCCAAATACAATATCTTCCTGACTTATATAATTTCCCATCTTCATTCCTGTAACATGTCATTGATTTTGTGAATGTTAATTCATGGTCCTTCTATTTATTCTAATAAAAGCATTGCAAACCAAATATGCCTCCACCTGTTCTGGGTTACTACATACCATAACCAAAATATATGATATACTGGGTCACAATTGTTGACAGAAGTGGTTTAGACAAGGATTTAGATCCTATTTGCAAAACTAGAATGTACCAATATATGAAGTCAATAAAGAGATTAACATATTTCTTCTAAAATTTTGAGCTTAAGCAGGTAAACCCTACAGCCCATACTCTTACCCTAAGCTTATCTCAATATGACATATCAAATAACTCAATTTTTTGAATCTGCTGTTGTATTTCCAGAGTTTTAAAAGATTTCCTCTAATTCCCATCAGTAAATATACTGGGGTGATGCTTAAGAAATATATCTTCAAAAACATGAGAAGAGTCTTTTTCTTAGAAGGTAGATTGTTTCAGCTGTCTAATACCCAGAGGAACCATATGAGGAAATCCTTGTTACTGTCTTTCAATGAAATAATCCCCTAAAGATACTGTTTCCTATTTCACAGTCTTTAGAGGAAGATTCCTTAGGTTGCAATTTATCCAACTGAAAGAATTATTAGTGTTAATTGCTGACTTATGCCATCTTCTTTCTGCTGGGATACACATGCAGAACTGCAAATCACAGTATCACTTCTTAAAAAGTGTTTAAAAAAAGGAGACTCGTGGAGCTACCACAAACATTTTCAAAGTCAGCATTAAATGTAACTTGAAATGATGATGCTGACTGCAGGGAAACACATTTTCTTAGCTGTTATGAAGTCCACAGGAAAACTGCAAATACTGATCTTCCCAAGACAGTTATAAGAGATTAGATATGGTTAACACAAGTATTTAAGCAAAAAATTATTTTAATATATATGACATTTCAAGATTTACTGTGCATATTATGTTCTGCTTCCCTTATGGCCTAAAGCAGTTAACAGAGTTTTGCTACAACTAAAAAAAAAAAAAAAGGAAAAGAAAAAGACAGTTTTTATAAAATACTAAGGACCAGAGTGCTAAATTTTACTAAACAATTATAAATCTGCTCTTAAACTGAAACAAGCATGTCTGTCACTCTGCACATTCTAGGTAAAATGGCAATAAAATTAACCTTTATTATAGAAGTATTTATTTTATAACATGAATATAACCCCTCCATTATTCTGTTTAATTGTTTCTTTGCTTGATGGTTATTTTAAAGAAAAGAAATTGAGAAAATCAAGGCTGAAATGGTAAACAGATTCCTAAAACTACATACAAGAGAGGTTTTCAAGCCACAGAGTCCACCTAATGTCCTCGCTGTGAAACAGCTATTTGACTCATTTTAAACAGGCCATTAGGTGTCACTAGGTATACAAAATGATGTCTCAGTCTTCAAAAACTAGCTTTGTTAGCTTAATGTAGGTTCCAATTTTGTTCTTAATTTTTGTGCAAGTAGGTGATTATGATCAATATACTGAAAATGTAGACCTGTGACAATGTCCTTGGAACACAGTCATTTCTAAAGAAAAAACCAAAAATATTATTTGGTGAAACATCAGAGGCATTTTAAGAGGTCTGTTCTCCTGGATGAAAAAAATATCACAGTCAAATACTGTAGAAGGGGCAGAGCTATTTGGTTTATGAAAGAGAAAGCATCCTTCATAAATGCTAAAATGAGAGGTAAAAGGGTAGATTCAGCAAAGTTCAATAATATCCATGCCCCTGTATCAATGTCTGGGCCCAGTACTGTACCGGTGCATTGCTGGTCTGGGATGGCAGGACGTGCTATAAAGCCACTGCCATGGTCAGTGTGGCTGCTGCAGCCCCCATGGGAAGCATGAAGGGTGTTACAAAGGGATGAGGGAAGAACAGCCATGAGGAGAGCAAACACTGCCTGCTGCTTCTGAGCTCTCCTCTGAAGTCCAGAAAGAGTTTAAAAACATGGGTCACAGCTCCCACAAAGTCTAGGTATTGTCCTAAAGTACTTTTCATTCCCTGACAGCATCACTGAAGATGATGTGTCAATAAATTGCCCTCTGTCCATTCACTACACTCTGTTTTCAACATGTGCTTGTGTTGTTCTAGATACACAGTGCAGCCAGGGGTCTGTGGAACAAAAACAGATGCACACATAAGTACAGCATTCAAAACACTCGGTGAACCAAGTGTGCCTTTCCTTCTCATGTCATTTGGGGAAGGGTTAGAGATGACAAATCCCCTGCTGGGGGATATAATCGTCTGGGTCCATTCCACATCCCTCTGCATATTTGACTTGTGAGATAGGCCTACCTTCTCCTAAGCAAACGAAATCCAAGGCTGAAAGCACAAGATTTGACTGGCAGTATGCTGTAACAGAGTCCTCAGAGGAGATGCACTCAGAGAACCTCCTGGGCTCCAGGGCAAAGCTGTCCTGGGACCCCAGATTGTATTTGACAAAACACAGCATGTAGAACAAAACTGAAAGCTACATATGTGTTGGGAAGGCTTTGACACAGAGCAGTGGTTCAGTTTTCTGTTTCTTGTGGCTAGTGAGATAAGATTTTTCCATCTGGAAAAGAGACAGCAGAGAGGGGATTGTCAAGGAGTAGCAAGGGTGAGGCTGCTTGGGAAAGGAAGCAGACCCAGGGCAGCAGGTGACAGCAAGGCCAGTAGGGCAGTGGCATCCCCCATTAGGTATTCAGTGCTACAGTTCCCTATACTCTTGCTACAGTCCAGTGATTCTCAAACAAGTCTGTAGTGATGAGGTAGATCAAATATTAAGCCTGGAGGTTAAGTACACACGTCATGGTCTATAATGGCCCTAACCAGAACACTGTTGTACATCAGGAATTAGTGACCCACATAAAAATGGACCTGATCAGGCTGACCAGTGTGTGCTGTTTTGTGCTAAGTTATGTTGTACATACTGGACTATACTGTGCTGAACACATCATGTGGCTGCAGGCTAAACTTTACCTGCTAATGTCAATGGAGAAGCTTGTAGATGCTCCCAAACTGGCACCTGGCGATGATGCTGCCAGCACATCCTTGAACCTCATTGCAGTCTACAGCTTCCTCATGAGAGGAAGAGGAGGGGTAGATACTGATCTCTTCCCTGTGGTGACCAGTGACAGTACCTGAGGAAATGACCTGAAGTTGTGTCAGGGGAGTCTTAGGTTGGATATCAGAAAAAGGGTCTTCATGCAGAGGGGTGGTTGGGCGCTGACCAGGTTCCCCAGGGAAGTGGTCATAGCATCAAGCCTGACAGAGTTCAAGAAGCCTTTGGATGATACTCTCAGGCACCTGGTGTGTCTCTTGGGGATGGTCCTGTGCAGAGCTGTGGATTGGACTTGATGATCCTTGTGGGTCCCTTCAAACTCAGTATATTGTGTGATTCTGTCATACTGCTATTCATCAGTAGAAATCATAAACGATAAAGAGTTGTTTACTTCTAAGAACATACCTTAAAACTGTAAAGATCACACAACCAGATAACCTCTGCATGCATGGGATATGAAGTGTTCTGTGCCCTGAATAAAGATTCATCCAATGCTGCACTGCTTGGGGTTCCTAGCATTGGAAGGGAAATTATCTATGCTATCTCCTTTTTGCCTCTCATTTTATTTCCAATAAAATGCACTTTAATAATTTTCTTCCTAGTGTCCAAAATAAATACTTGCTGTAGTAAATTACAGGGTCCATTTTGGTGAGGTTCATGGCCAGGCACAGGCACAAAAGCTGGCAAGGACTGCAATCAAGAGACTCAGTTTAAATCCTTCTTTCAAGTGAGGGCGATATAGGCAACCCTGTGGAGGCATCTCATAGCTCTGTCACAAACAGTGCTCTGATCCAAAGCTTGGCAGTTGCTTTAGATGTGCCTAAGCTCACGTAGTCAAGCTCCTAGGAGAGGAATGATGTTTTCAACAACAGAGGTTTCTGAAGTCCTGAATGATATGAAGAGAGTGACAGAGATCAGCTATTCAGTATATCTTCTGACACAGGAACGTAATGGTATTAAAAGAAGTTAATAGAAAGCAGTTAAAAAACCCCCAGAAGACAGAAGTAGCTGACAACAAATAGGTATCTGAATGATGGAACTCATAGTCAAAGAATGCTGGAGATAAAATTTTACATGATTTTAGAAGGAGATTGGAAAACCATGGAAGAGAAGTCCATTGAGAAGTAATAAATATATAGAAAATACTATGACCTATTTAACTTTCAGGACTAAATGTCAGAACCTTGACAGCGTGACCAGACCCAGTAGGAGATTTCCCTAACACCCTCTGCATATGGGTATGGAGCCTGTACTGGGCACTGGCACCATTTTGGTACTAGGCATGGTCTTTGTGAGAGGAGGACACAAACTGTCCTCTGCCAGTTGCAG